ACCCTCAGACCGATGGCCAGACGAAGAGGGCGCATCAGACCGCACAGGTTCTCCTTCGCACTCTCATCCGCCCCGACCAGAAAGACTGGGTTGAGTGACTGTCGGATGTGGAGTTGGCCTACAACTCTTCCATCCACCCGGCTATTGGGATATCGCCGTTCGAGTTCGAGCACGGCTCGCCGGTCACGTCACCGTTGGACACGATTACTCCACGCACGGCTGAGAGCGACGACCAGCTTTTTTTCTTGCGTTGGATGCAAGAGCTTCTTGTCAAGGCACGCGACCAGATGGCTAAGACGCAGCAGTGCATGAGCCAACAGGCAAATCGCCAGCGTCTTCCTTGTCCATTCCGCGCCGGGGACCCCGTCTGGGTTTCAGCAGCGGAATTCAGCCTTGAACAAGACGTCTCTCGCAAGCTCCTCCCGAAATGGATGGGGCCTTGGCCGATCATAGAGCCCGTTGGGGACGCACCCGAAGGACCCTCCTTCACGATTCAGGTGCCTAGCCACTTGCCTCTCTACCCAGTCTTTCACTGCTCCAAACTGGCTCTCTACACGCCAACGGATCACGACGATTTTCTCGGGAGACGTACGCAAGACCCACCTTCTATGGATGGTTTTCAGGAGGTCGGCGACATCATCTCCCAACGACGCTTTGGCAATAAGCCAGCTGAGTATTTGGTGCATTTTGCCTACTGCACACATCGAGCTGACCATCGGTAAACCCGTGCGGAACTGCAAGCGACAGCTCCAGACGTTCTCGCACGCTACGAACGCAAGATGCAAGGCAAGCCGGTTTCTTCGGCTCCACGCCGCGACCGCGTCCAGGTTCCACCTTCAGATCGACGGCTTCGCCCTCGCCCCGGCTTGACTTCATAAGGAGGGCGGGGTGTTACATGCAGCGCGTGCACACACGGGCCATTTGGAAGGCCCAACGGCCATTTTGCAGGCCCGACAGTGTTCAGGCCAAAAGCCTGAACTTCAAGTCGAAAGCCTGAATTTCAGGCCGAAAACCTGAAATCCAGGGCTTACACGCCCCCTGTCGGTTCAGGCCAAAACCCTGAAGTCCAGGGCCTATCCCTGGTCGTTTCAGACTAAAAATGGCAACAGCCTTTTTAGCCTGAAACGAAGGGCCATTTTCGGTCGTTCATCAGAACGACCGGCCCTGAAACTTAGGCACCGAACCAGGGTTTCGGGAACAGACTATTAATAGTCTGTTTCCCACGCCAGCCTCAAGCAGGCTGGCTGGTGCACGCCAGCCCCTGGCACATTTCGGCATTCGCAAGAGCTGCCTCCTCGGCCTGACTGGCCTCCAGCAGTCAGGAGGCAGGCCGAGGTAGTACATAGGACTTCCCAGGCACTTCCGAGGTAGGCAGTTGGCAGTAGTAGTCTTCTAGATTCGGGTGCAGCACTCTGGAGGGAGCGCTGCGTTGTAGTAGTTGTAGCGTTAGCTAGTAGTCTTCAGCGCTGGGCGCAGTAGGTAGCTGTAGTCTCCAGCGCTGGGCGCCATAGCTAGGTAGTACTAGAGAGAGAGAGAGAGAGCTTGGGCGAAGGCCAGAGGTACCTACTTGCAGCGCCGTTGCTCCAACTTCGTCTTCGAGGTACCTGCAGCACAGCGCCAACACCACAGGTTAGTATCTGGTTCGTAACAGAGAGAGAGAGAGAGAGAGAGAGAGTTCTCCTTCTTCTTCTTCTCAGTCCACCATCTCTTCTCTCCCTCTCACTTCTGACTTCACTGCATCTGCAGACTATGAGAGAAGAGATACAGAGCTTGGTGACATTTGATCCAGACTGGACGTTMGAGGGTTYAGACATGGCAACGAGGGACTATTTGGGATTGGTGACCAAGACTTGGTGTTAACGACATTCCCATCTTCTTCCCTCCTTTCGTCTGATCCTTATCTCTTCGTCTGTGTATGTCTGGAMCTGGCGCTWTCTTCCTGTGTRCAGCGCCAGGCTCCTTCACACTTTGTGATGGATACAATGCATGTTTAGTCTGAGTTCAAACATTGATTGGGCTAGTTAGAGGTACTCTAGCATTCTGCTTCGTTACTCTGAAATACGTGAATGACGTCAGTCCTGTCAGGTCAGTCTTTGTATCAAAGTCTTCCCTGCGCTCTTCAGCATCTTTATGTATGAATGAGAATGTACATTGCTTGTCGAGATTCTACTCGTACCGCATTGTCTGTTCAGTCCTTTTCATCACATTGCAGATTCTCAGTTTATTACGTACATTGCATATCTGTGCATGTAACATCCTCCCTGTTGTCTACTCCCTCGCCTTGTGTACTACTAGTAAACGCATATGAATGAGCGTCGTTGAGAGAACAGACAAAATATAATTACCCTTTTACTCTGCCTCCTTTTATAACGTGCAAGTGGGCCATAAAGGCACACGGGGATATGGGCAGCTGGCGCTCAACCATCATCAACATGGCCAGCCTTGTACGTGATAGGCACAGTAAGAGGGTAACTGCAAAAACAAAGAGCATGGGAGGCCTCCCAATGCTGGCTGATGAAAAAATAATCAAGAAAACGATGTAACATACTAACAAATGTACTGTGTCTCGTATTCTTTTTGCTGTTGGGATGGTCCATCTCGAGTGTGATGCATTGCTTGTGTAAAGGTGAGATTCCTTGTCTGATTAAAGGCAAGGTTCTCAATAGATATTGACTTCACAAGCAAAACTGTCTCATTGGTGGATTGGCTCATCTCGAGCATGCTTCATTGTCTGCAATATAGGTAAAGTAGCTATGACTTTGGATCTACTCATCTGGGCGGAATAGAGGAAGTTGTGGTGATAATTTGTAACACACACACACACACCGAGAAATATGCAGAGTTAGCGACACACAAGGACCAAGGCTGGAACCCGCAAGGACCAGGATTGCAACCTGCAAGGAGCTGTATGATAGTTGCCTCAAGCTCACTTCACACCCCTTATGTAAACAATTTCTTTTGTGTTCTGCTCTTCCCTGCTGGTTGGAGCATTAAATGCTTCCATCATTGCCATAATTTACAACCTGGTACCAAAAGAACTCATCACGTACTTTCAAGCAAGTTTCCCCATGGTGTGTTTCTTTTTTCTTTATTGGAATTTTCCCCTCCTTTTTTTATCTGCAATCAGACTCGTCTTCTTCACTTCACAGCATGCAAGAAAAGAGATGGCAATCACACTGGCGCACACTGGCGCCAGGCGCCCACACAAAGCTCAGAGATATCGAGGCCAAGAACACAGTTCAGATTCAAACTTGCTTTAAATGGCTATGGCGCCTGTGCGCCCTCACATCACCCTTCTGGATCTCAACACTGTTCACATGCACGCTACTCTGGATCTCCCTGGATGTCCCACACACGCACAGAACTCACTGCACACTCATACACAAACACGCTGTAGCCTATCTCTAACGTAACACAGCTATGGCTGCTGGCTAACTCTACCACTAACTAGCGGCTATGGCCTCTTCGTCGCCCTCTCAGCCCACTTCCTCCTCGGGCACCTGCAGACCTCCTTGCACAAGTCGCTCAGGCAGCGCTTCCGCATGGCTCACAGTCTGAATCCATAACTGGACGCTGCCTCTTGATTTATACTTCAGTTGGTCGATGGTCTGCTGCTTTCCATCGGGCCTAGGGTGCACACAGTCCCACATGGTACTTGCTGACTGGACAAAGTGCGACTGGGACTGGGTACCGCTGACTAGACGAGGTTGGACTGCCCACTTGCCTCTGGCCTGACTGGCGACTCTTGAAAGGCCACTTCCGGACCTTCCGGAAGTCTGTAGACTTGGGCTTTCGGGACTGTAGCAGCTACGACGTTGACCTTTCAGACTGTAGCAGCTAAGACTTCTACACAGCTATGACGCCTACTTGACAGACCTACGGTTCAAAACCCGACAACTACATAGACCTATGCAATGACTTGCTGTTTTCTGGTCGTCTGTGGCCTCTCTCTGTCGAGGCTGTACTATAGGTAGGACAGATTCGTAATTTTGTTTGGCTGAGGGCTAACCGAGAGACCTACCTGTGGGGTAAATTTGTGAGGGACATATCTGCAAATCCAGGAAAATACAGGCCCGGTACTAACAGGATTCCCTGCAGCTACCCTAACTGCGTATAGCAGGCCCGGGCTACCCTAGGACAGACAGGCCCTAAGGGCCTATTCTGAATAGATGGTCCTATAGCCTATAGCTGGGTCCGGTAGAGGCCGAGATGAAACGGTATTCACCAATTCGTGGTAGCTGAGGTAGATCCCAGGGCTCGATCCCTAGTTCCCCAACTTACCTGTGTACAATACCTGCGTCAACTCGAAGAGTTGAACCTGCGACCTGTAGAACCGCCAGTGGTAGGTCGGTCTGTCGTAGGTCTATAGGTAGCCAGGATTCGATCCGTAGACCTATAGACTAGAAGGCTAGCTGCAGTCCTAGAAGCTTGGCAAGTGGTCAAGTGGTGCAGACAAGTGGTCAAGTGGTGCAGGCAAGTGGTCAAGTGGTGCAGGCAAGTGGTCAAGTGGTGCAGGCAAGTGGTCAAGTGGTGAAGGCAAGTGGTCAAGTGGTGCAGGCAAGTGGGCAAGTGGTGTGACTAAAGCAAGCCCATGTTGGAG